AGGATGGTAAGGTTGGCAATGATGGCTGACAGGATGTGACACAACAAAACAAAGTAAAAATCTACTACACTCTGCTCCTGTTAATCCATCACTGATTTATAGCAAAGGGGGCACTCCTATTTTACTCCTTAATCAATCAGTGAAAGGCCTGCGTGACCAGGGCATAAATGTTTATCTCCTGAATCATGGCTGTCCATCAATCCCCTTCACAAGGATCAGAGATCAAAGCAGTTGTGGGTGGTCAGAGAGGACCACTTGAGGATCCATTAGATCAATAACTCGTTTAAAATATTCACCATCAACTCCTAAACTCTCATGGATATCTGAGTTTGATTTATTAATTGATAATTATGTTAGTTTGAAGTAAGGAATCTTAAGTGCCTTCATCCTGAAATACAGTTAATACACACCTCTGGGCAATTTGTGTTCATGCATAATTGTCCTCGTTTCAATTATTTCCAGTTGGCTCAAGTAATAAATCACCAATTTAATCATTGAGCCTTTTCCACGGGGAGCTTCATAAAATCTGATACTGCCTCAAACGACATCAACTGAGGCAGTGTTGGTCTAAGTGTTTAAAAATAGGATTAAAATGTCGTTGTATGGAAGACAGAGATGAGTTTAACAGACTTTGTAGCTCCCTTCTCACCTCTGCTTGTGGCTAGCAGCTAACAGCTCAAGCTTCTACCAGCATATAGAGCACGTGAATCTGTAAACCGAACTGTCAGCAGTTGAATTGCATTATGGGAAATGTTTGTTGTTGTCCTTTGACGAAAAATGTGTAGAATACAAAAGAGGAAAAACAGAATTTACTGCATCCATTATTGTTTTTATTCAAGTTATATTAGCACACCGCTAAATTGTCAATGAATGCCTACTTTAAGAAGTGTTTTTTTTTTCTTAAACATTAGAAAACTGGATTTCAAATACTCCTGTTCGGACATGAAAACAAAGGCAAACTGTAGGCTACAATTACAACAAAATGTGTTCGCTATCACCACTATGTGTGAAAGTTCCAACCCATATTATAACATCACACATCCTTTTCAGATGTCATTTAACTGAGGGAAGAATTTCGGAGCAATTTCCAGTCACGTCTCTTTTCAATACATACGTAGCAGACAAACCAACCCCTCTCTGTTCCTGTCACCCTCTGTCCACTTTGTCTTTATTCCTCTCTCTGTGTGAGTCTAAAATCCACAGGCTCAGGCCAGGTGCGGCTGCAAAGCTGTGGTGGATCAGAGAGCTGATGATGGATGACAGCAGGGTGTGTGTCTGTGTATGTTGGAGGGGATTCTACATGCATTATATTGAATGACACACTTCCTGTGGTTAGGAAGAAGGAGATAATGATGGACTGAGGAAAGAGGTTAACAGCTAGCCTCTCTCACACACACAAACACACATTTAATGGCTGTATAATCCGACTGAGCTGAGAGGGTTAACACACCATTAACATATTAGTTTACTACAGAGGCCAGTAACACATTTGGCTTCAACACCAGTAGCACCAAATGGATGCAGTATCCAACAGGCGACTTAACACATGCCAGAAAAACAACAAAGGGCGTATTTGTCTGTGTAAAACTAACAATCCGCACCCCTGCCTCCCCCGTCGTCCCACCCACTGGGGGTGCTGGCTCCCCTTCTGCTTCATCTGCATGTGCACAAACACAAATATAAACATACACATGGGCCAAAACTCATGCACACACAGAGAGATGGGAGTCCAGCGCATGGCAGGAGCAGCCCACTGGAAAGGGGCAGCATATTTCGCAGTTGAATGAGCACATGACTTTGTGACTTGATCAGAAGAAAGGATGTGTTTGGTGCTTGAAGGCTGTTCGAGGAAAGCGTTAAAAGCAGCCTAAAGGTTCGACAGCTCCAAGGGACACAGCAAGAAGAAGCAATGGTGGACACTGAAGCAGTACTTTTGTCTTGTTTCAAAAAAAAAAAAACTGTCATTTTAAATCATTCATTTTGTGCTAATTCTTTTTTTTAGAATACAGCTGCAAGAAAAAGTCAATATCAAATTCTCTTCTAATGCCATGAACACTTTTCTTAGAAGGCTTTAATTTTACATTTTCGGGTAATTTCAGCATCCTTTCAGGAAAAAAAACGAATTAACTCTTCATTTATGGGGGCCATTACAAGTATACGAGTTTCTTCGCAACATTAGCCCCCTTCCTGTTCATATGTCCATCACATCGTCAGGCAATTCTCCACATCAACCCTCCTGCAGCTAACATTTTATCCACATGCCCAGAGAGACACGGGGTTGAGATTAATAGATTGATTGCTATTGGATTCTGGGGCTCGTCCCCATGTTGGCCTGTCAGATGGCTGGTGAGAACACATGTCCAACGGTATACGGTTGGATGGAGGCTACCCTGTGATTCAACGCACAAGCTTGAATCTTTGCATGCTGAGCTTAGCCAGGCCTGCATGTTGGAAGCGACTCGCACACTGGGATACCCCAGACTTCTATTGGTGATGTTAACAGGCGATGCATTCTCTCTCTCTCTCTCTCTCTCTCGGACTCTCTCCTCCTGCTCCTTCATTTTGTTCACTGCACATTACAGTGGCCCAGTTGGATCATTTGTATATGGCTGCTTATCTCACGTATGACAATGCAGCCAGATGTCCCGGGAGATTTGAGCAAACACATGATGTATTTCAGCCAGAAGACAGGTGGCAAAAAAAATGTCATTTTCTTGGCAGTTAATATGAAGATAAGGGGAAAAAAAAACATCTACAACACACACTGCCCTTTGTAAATGACAGTATCACAGGCCTGTCGCTGAGAGCCCACCACACAATAAAACCGCAACTTAAATGAAATCTGCACATCACCAACTGACTGAGTCATATGCTGAACACAACCCTGCTAAATCACGTGTAGAGATGTTTGATTATGCTTTTCCTAACTCTGAAGACGTATTGTATCACAGATTTAGGTTTTAATTGTTAAATTTCTTCCAATGATTGACAGTTTTCCAGTGTGTTTAAAAAAAAAGTGTGAGACATCTCATGCAGAAAACGTCTCAAACAAGACTCTGTGCCCTACATGCACGAGAAGTGTTAGTAAATCTTTGGAGTCCTGCTCCTGACAGAGTGAATAGAGCCCTGTGTATGCCTTCAAACAGCTCTACACTCTTTAATGTTTAAGCAGCACAGCACTGTGTCAGGCTGCCGTCAACGCCCAGGGCATTGAGTAAATTAATGATGCTTAAGTAAACTAAGGATTAATTATAGATACCCAATGTGTCAGCAGGCATGTATGCACATCTGACTGCAAGTTCTACCTGCCATCATGTTAATGCAGAGCTAACCTGCTTCAGCAGACGCAGGACAGATGGGAAACACACTTGGCACTATACGCTGGTGCTCTCACATTTATTATTGCCCTTGAGCAGAGAGAGGCTCTCACTTAACCAGGGATGGACAGAAGCCGGCCGGCACAGGGATGAGAAACAGACAGGGCAACAACAACAGCAACAATTACAACAATTGTGCTATCAAAAGAAAGATACTTGAAGATATTAAAGCACATATTGGTTAATCAGCTTTGTCCCTTAAGCTGGGTAAATGGGCAAGATGTCTAAGAGGTCACAAAAGCTATTTGTTCAATGCTTAGGCTGAATGAGCTGAAATCATCTCATTAAAATGTTTGATTAATCTCATCAAACCCTGTCAGAAATGTGAAGTTTGCTATGAAATCCACAACAGTTGAGCCTTGAAAATAAATGATACAACCAATGAGGAAAAATAACCAGTTATTTTCAGTCATTTTTCACAAAAATAACGTCATTTTACAGCTTCTCACTCAGTTTTTCTTTTTACAATCATAATAAATAGAGAAATCTTTGGATGGTTAGGATCAGACCGACACCATCTTTCACAAGTTGTCATCTTGGGCTTTAGAGACCAGATGAGTATTTATAATAACTGAGAATCTCAAAATAAATCATGAATGAAAATAATTGTAATGTACAAACCTAATACAAAACACACAAATAAGAACAGCACATTACAGTACAGTCCTATAGTTTACATTATAAAAGATGGTGCCCCTTTTTCATGACAAATTCATATGCAGAACTAGTTCAATGTGTTCTTCCCTGAAGTGAACCGCTTTGGATGTTATGTTGGGAACAAAAGTTTGAATGATAGTCTGGGTTAGGATCAGGTTAGGACTCTGCAAACTTTTAAGGAAAACAAATCCACTTTCTTTTTAATGCTGAGACTCCACTCCTTTGATTTCAACCATTCAGAAGAACATGTTATTCATTTTTGATTTTTTTTTTTAAAGAGCACACTTGAGTGTTGCATTTTGTCTCCATTATTTAAAGAAGGGAGAACAAAAAATGTTGACTCGTTGTTGAATCCCTAAGCTGGATAGTCGCTGTAATATATCCAATTGAGAAATGTTGAAAGGGTAGAAATAGACCACTGGAAACTCTGAACTCCATCAAAGCTCTTGTTCCTCATAAGAATATGTGGACTTTTCAACTGCAATAAATATCACAATGGACCTTGACTGAAGATACTTTGTAACTGCATTTGTAAATCATGCATTTGAAGGATATTGTCAAGTTAACCTGACAGAAGAGACGAGCTTTGTCTTTATATCATCTGAAATCATGTCAAAAACAACTTAGATGGTTTATTTAGGAAGCATATAGCCTATGTGGATTAAGAAGACTGAGTAGTCATTGACCAGAGCGATGACAAGATTAGTGGTCACATTAACCCACAACTCTGTAGAATTATATAAAAAAAATAATTATTACATTTCAAAATAAGAACATATTTAATGAACCATGTCCCTACAGATATGAGGATCTAGTATAGGCTCTAACTGCTGGGGGTTTAAATGATAAATCAAAAACCCGAAAGTACAGTGAGGTCGCTGCGAATTCATTATTAAGTGCTACATTAAGTCCCTGTACGATTATTGCCAGGCTTGCACGTCTAAGTGAAAGCAACAGTAAGCTTACCGTCCACAGCCATAGTCGGTCTCAGCGTGTATCGCTCCGTGGTGTCAACAGGACTCTCGCATCCTTCCGTCTGATGGAGAAAACGTAAAAAAAAGAGTGTGAGGGTAAAGAGCGCTCGTTGCCCTCGCTAACCTACATGGAGACCGCTCAAACTGTAGCCCTAGTATACTCTGATAAAATAAAATAAAAAAAAGAAACCAGGTTTCACACTCTCCCTCGTTGCCGGTTCACTGCCATTTGTTGTCCTGGACGCCTCCGGGACGAGTCCGATATGAAGCGACTCTTCCTGAATCTCCGCCCCCCTCTCCGTACCTGACCGCCGGGAGACAAAAGGTCATTACGCCCCGACACCAGCTGTTCCTGTATACATACTGGATACTGCTCTCTCTCTCTCTCTCTCTCTCTCTCTCTCTTCTCTCTCTTTCTCTCTCTCTCTCTCTCTCTCTCTCTCTCTCTCTCTCTCTCCTCTCCTCCCTCTCCTCTCTCTCTCTCTCTCTCTCTCTCTCTCCCTCCCTCTCTCTCTCCCTCCCTCTCGCTCTCTCTCTCTCTCTCTCTCCTCCCTCTCGCTCTTTCTTTCTCTCTCTCTCTCTCCCTCTCGCTCTCTCTCTCTCCCTCTCGCTCTTTCTTTCTCTCTCTCTCTCTATCAACGTGCACGCAGGCACACTCATCGAAACGACCCATTTTATTTATAATGGCCACTGTACAATAGACTATAGGAATAATATGGAATACGTATATTTAAAAGTAATGAAATATCTTATGATTGTTTATCAATATAATTCATGAGGAGTTAAACTGTTCCCCTGTAGGTGCTTCATATTCAATACAAAAGACAACCCAATAGTTAAACATATTTTTTTTAATGTAGACCTAAGTCAATGAGCTTCTACCCTCTTGACCTTGACCTCTTGTCTTCCCTTTAATCCAAAGTGATGTACATCTGAGAGTAAGTAACACAATGTAAGTAACAATGTCAGTAAGTGTCAACAAATACAGACAAATGTGATGACAGGCAGTGCACAGAAGCAAAGCAGGGTGAATCATATAGGCTAGTGTTTTTTTTTGTTTTTGTTTTTTTACATCATCATCAACAACAAAACAGCTTCATCATCAATATAATGATCATTATGAATATTATAATCAACACCAACACCATTCTCAACATCAGTATCTTCAATATCATCAGCGTCGTCAGTATCATGAGCAGCATCAGAATCATTAAATGCATAGGTGTTCATGAAAGGGCTGGGGCTTTAACTTTTGTTAAAGATGTAAAGGGATTCTAAAAATCCTATAGAGTTTGGGAACTTTTTCCACCACCATGGGACTGTTGATTAGGAAGAGTCTAGCTAGAGACTTAACAGTACTGTTGTGAAGGTAGGACCAGGCCGCTTTCATTGTCAGAACATGTAAGTGGGTGGGAGGGGTTGTAGACTTGGAGGAGGGAGTTCAGGTAAGCAGGAGTCAGTTTTTGTTGCCGTTTTGAAAGCAGTGTGCTGTGTTCTGGATCATCTGCAGAGGTAAATGTGTTCATGCTGAAAGAACTGCCACTGAAGTAAAAGTTCGCTGGTCCAAGCTGCATATTGATCTGTGGCTGCTTAGTATATACTAAAAATATAGAAATGCTAGAAATACTGGAACGACAAGGAGCTCAGTCTTTGATAGGCCATCATCCGTTCAAAGATATCAACAAGTCATAATGAAATCCTTGCTGTAGTGTCGCCTGACGGGAATTGGGCTTCTATGGCTCAGTTGGTAGAGTCAGTCTTCTCTCAATTGGTAGGTCTGTGATTTGATCCCCAGATCCTGCAGCCACACGTCCAATGTGTGCTTGGGCAAGACACTTAACCCCAAGTTACTCCCGCTGTTGTTACTTATTAGGGTTTACTATGATATTTTGTTGTATATTCCTCAATGTGTCATGTCCAGTTTTACTACATACGTCTGTGTTTTCCCTCCTTTTTGTGATTGGATGCCCTGCCCACGTGGCGTTCCCCTGAGTCTTGTAGGTGCCAGCTGTCTTGATTAACCCTGTATGTATTTAGTCTCTGTGTTTTTGCACGTGGGTCCTTTTGTTCAGTTGTAAAACTGACATTCACAACACAAATTCTAGTGACATTAATATCGACTTACAATAAGTAAAAATGAATGAAATTCATAAAAACTTGTCTTGACATTAAAATGTAAATAATTCTCAATTTACTGTCCTTCTTTTACACAGAATATTATGAAGATCATTTTACTTGACTAGAAAAACATTGTGTTTTTTAAGTACCACCAGAAAAAGGGAAAAAAAACATTCCTAAATTGGCACCCTGTGTAGACATATTTCCCCTCGCTATGATGCCCATGCACCCTCACAGTCCTTATAATCCACCTCTCTTTCTTTTTTATTGTTAAAGTAGACTAATGTAAAACTGTCCATTAGCAGTCAATTAGCTTTAATAGTGTCCTTAATCAAGCTGGATAAAATCTGTTCTACAATATTGCTGTAAAACTTAATTTTAGAGATAAGTAGGACAAGTAATGCAAGCTTCCTAGTTTTTTAATCTTATTTTATATTTAGAAAACTTGCATTAAAAAGTTATCATCTGAATATAATATAAGAAGTAGTCCCCTGAGACTCTCTTCATAACATCTCTCTTTTAAGGTGCAGTGGGAATAATGAAAACAACACAGTGTGTACCTTGTCATTTTATTTTTGCGGGTTGCATATTTTCTAAAACAAACCACCGTCCTGCATTCACCACTACTTCTCTATGCAAACAAGTCAAATCAAGGAAGAGCTCCATAACATCAATAAACTAGTATGCATTCATGAATACAGTGGAAGGATAAGTCAGGCGGCAAGATATGTTATGGATCCATTTATTTTATGCAGCTCTTTGTGTTTGTTTGCAGTCAGATTCAAAGATTTTGTCAGAGATTCAGTTTCTGTTGAACTTCTTCACTTTCTGCGAGCTGTAGAAGATTGCATTTGTTGACCCAAAAGTTTTTCCATATATATACAGTATATATATATATATCATTTTTTAAAGTTGTGAGCACATCTTTGTTGTAATTCACCCATCCAAAACTATCATAAACAGGTTGCACGTATGTCCAAATTTAGAAAAGAAAGTTTGGTCAAAATTTCAGCGGAGAAAGTTGACTTTCAGATCCTGTAGAATCAGGCTCCTAAAATGTTGTATCGTTGAAGCATGTGGTAAAAAGGAGAGTTTTATGTTAGTGTTAAAGTAAAAGCCTTACAGTGGCTGTAACATAGAGGGACCAAAGGAATGTCATGTGATCCTGGGATATACAGTAACACATAATGGATACTTATTTTCTAACCAAAGCCCAATAACTATCAAAACATTATGTTAATAAGCGATGTCAAATGAGCCAAAGCCACTTTGTATCCCACTAGGTACTTATTTGACAAGAATAGCTTTCGTTTATTTGATTAAAACACCTGAAGATGTTCTTAAAACATTTTACATGTTTTAAAAAAAATCTTAATAGGGCTCTTAAGATATATAAACTTTATTCTTTGTGTAAAAAGGAGTTCAGGGCCCCTTTAAGGGGGTGAGTGTCATTAAAATAATAAGTCTGCTGCATATGTGCTTTATAGCACGGAACTTTGTTTTTCCAAACGGTGCACTCAAACCAAGTTGGACACCACAAAGGTGGAGTGCAGGCCTATATTTGATTCAAGAGCTTTTGTGATCAACTCTTATGCAAACGCACACTCTTTGCACAAACCAAGAAACAGAAACACAGAGGAGTTCTTCTGACTGCTTGGAGTAAAGCCTTAAAAAAAACAGCCGTTTCCCTGTTAGACACCCTCATATTTGCACCTCAAACAGTTGAGCTTCACTTCAAAGCAGAAAATTCTGGAGCAAGTTGTGTGCTGGTCTGTGTCAATGCAATCTCACAACACACACAGCTAATTGATTCTGCTAGCGTTCAGATGCATGCAGACTGCTCTGTGCTGAGCTTCTTTTTTTTTTACTAGCAGCGAAACGATATGTCCCTGAACGACTTCAAGACAGTCGGTCAGGCTTTATTGGGAAGATGAGGGCCATCCCCAAAGCCCGGGCGCTGTATCATCAAAGAGAGAACAACAAGGAACAAAGGACTAGCCATGATGCATCAGAGGCTTCATCAGAATATGCAGACCGAGAGTGAAAGTATCACGCTCAACCCTACTTATACACACTCATGTAGACTTACACATGATAGTTAAACCCTGATCAAACACATTTGTATGCGCTCACTTGTTCTCAAGGACAGTTCTTCATTTAGAGTGGGCTAATGTGTGCCTGTAAGGAAATTCTCCCCTGTAAAAACGGAGCAGTCAAAGCTTGTATCTTTAATTTAGAGGATGGTCAGTGCCTTGAATAATGAACAGCCTGGGATGCGTAAAGATCAAGAGGTATAGCAGGTCCTTTGGGTGTCAAGTCTCATAGACGCAGCTGCTAAAACATAAGCATCTCTCGTTAGAATAAATGTGTTTGCACAGGCGTGTGTGGCACCGCACAGATAAACATGAGGGAATAGGAGCTCAAGGGAACAAAATATATTTACCTTCATTCTTTCCTCTAGATAGCCATTCTTCACCATGTAGTCTGGAGTTTCCTCTGGGAGTTTGGTTGCTTGATGAAGCATGTACGTAGAGAGTGATGAGAACTCAGCAAGTGTTTGTATCCCCATGCAGACTATTCATTACACCCTGTAACTAGCAGATGATGCTATTAAACTTTTATTGTCAGTGTTATTCCATCACATATGGCCTGCTCTCTGCATGCCAGGAAACCTTTGTTGCTTTTCTATGACAATCTAACACACATGCATAGAAAAGTGCACACAATCACACACAAACACAAACCACTTGAAGTGAATTAAACAGATGTAACGCAAAAACGCACAATATGTTAGCACTACCAACAGCCAGATTGTGTCAGCTCACATGATGAAAAGGAAGTGTCTTGAGCTTTGAGAGCTCTGGGGAGAGAAAGCTCCTCCTCACAAGACACAGAGACGCTATTGATATTGGTGTGTGGCTTTAGCCTTGCCAAAGCTGGTGTCATGGTGAATGGCTGTCCTTTAGATGGCAGTCTGGAATAACAGAGCCAAATTGGACAGGAAGAAAAACCATAAGAAGAAAAGAGCAGTTGAGTAAAGCTCGGACCAACCTTGGGTGCATCTAAATGCTTGGAAGTTGAAAAGATTTAAAGAGGTTGGATTTCAATAGAACATAAGCTCTCTCCTCTGCCTGTACTTAATCTGACCTGAAAGCTGGAGCGCTTTCAGGTGGAAGTGAAAGCATCTAATGAATTCCCACAGGAAGCTGTTTACTCCACTGAGATGAGTGCAGATGATAGAGAAGAATCCACTTTATAGTGTTAAGTTGTGGCCCTGAGCTGTTTTCCTAATCACAGGCCTGGGGGAGTTTTCTCTAATTCTCTGCACATATTGTGGGGTCGGCTTTGAAAAAGCTGTGTCGCCTATCTGCACTTACTTACTCAGTGTGCGAAGCAAAAGATGACAGAAACTATTTGAAAGATATATTCCCTGTGCCACTCCCTGTTCATCACCTCTTGGCTCCTGCTCTGCACCCTGTGGGTTTATTTGCGCCTTTGGGTGTGCGTTGTATAGTTGTGCTTTTGATGTGTGTGTGTGTGTGTGTGTGTGTGTGTGTGTGTGTGTGTGTGTGTGTGTGTGTGTGTGTGTGTGTGTGTGCATGTGTGTGCATGTGTATGTATGAATGAACATATATGCAGGAGGGGAGGGAGGGATGGAAAGCAGAGCATTCACAATCCCCTCACTCTCTGACGGTGACCTCACTGTTATGCAAATGACCACAGTTGTCTGAGCCGGGCTGTGCTACAAACACCAGCACTGGCTATGTAGGTTGGTTCAAGCAAACCAAACTATCTATATATCTGTGTATCTTTTTTATGTACATACTGCCTGTTTCCTCCAATTGGAAACAAAATATTTAGAAAAAATGTAAGAACGTCATCCAGGGCCTGTGGCAGAATGTGTTTCTTTAAGTGCTATAACACAAAAAATGCTCTATTTTTTGTGTGCATGTGTGTCCCAATAGACTGTCTAAGAAGCGACAAAGCTTCTGTGATGTCACCTTTTGGTTTGTTGACTCTGTTTTGAAGCCTTGAGCTTGGCATTAAGGATGTCGTCATTTTTGATTTTTAAAATAAGGAGTCACAGTTGGTTGATATCATCGGTGGCCACGCCTGAATGCATACCCTGCTTTACCATATATTTTACTCAAGTTACAAATGGACACCATTCCATATTGATGAAGAATTAAAACTTGCCATTGCTGATACCTTAAACTCATTAGACAACGTCTCCTTCTTTAATATTGTGTCAATGTCATGTGTGATAGCAAAGATGATGAAGTAACAAAGTTCCCAACACAGTCGCAACAAGAAATGGAAAAACAACTGAAATGCCCTTTAAAGTAAAATCAGCAATGTGTCTGTAAGCAGGTCGTTTTAAACATGTGAAAATACTGAGAACTATGTTTGACTGAGTTTTTGACCGTTATTACGGTTTTCTTAAGTTTCAGTTTGAAGTTTTAATGGGCGGGGCCAAATAGGGTGCTCAATGACGTGATTGAGCCCTTCATGTTTCCAACGTTCTATGCTAAGCGATATAAAATCAATGAGCGCTGTAGCATCTTCGGTTCTTCTCCCGGTCGATTTCCAGTTACGAGAAGTTTCAAGTTAAAGTGCATTTTTGCTAGCTATGCCTTCGTACCGCAAGTGTATCTTCCCTGGATGCCAGAATGTGAAGAACAGCTCGGTCTGTTTGTTCAATTTCCCCAAGGATGACGAGATGAAGAACAGGTGGATTCATTTTGTGAAGAGGTACCACGATGGAGAGCTGGTGGTCTCTAATAACACCCGCCTCTGCAGTGCCCACTTTTCTCCTGAAAGTTTTTCCAACTTTCACCAGAGACAAATTGGCTTTTCGTATAACCGCCTTTGGCTGGTTAGCGGTGCCGAACCGTCTGTCACTAGCCCGCCTGGCAGACACTCGGCGCCTTCGCAGACAGCGCATGCCTGCCAGTGAGTGTAAGTTGCCCTTTTTGCTTTATGTTAATTGTTAATCTATATCAAACTTTTTGCTGGTAAGTGAAGTAATATAACATGATTTTATTGTGTAGCCTAGCATGATCATAGCTAATGTGGTGAAGTTTATGATTATTACCTTTTCCAATTTGGGGGAGAGGGAATGTTGGGTGTAAGATTAAAGTTAGCATCCACCTCCGATCGAATAGGATGGATTTCTTGCATCTGTGTGTAAGATAAAAATAACCGGTCAAATCGACGGGTCATTTTATGTTTGAGGAAGATCTACATAAATGACCGCATTGCAACAGCCGGGGGTTTTCCTAAATCTCCGCTATCAGCACAGATTGTGTTGATGTTTAAAAATGTGTGGAACTTTTTCATGAAAAAACGTCTGCTTCAAAAATATCGAACAGTTTCAAGAAAACATTTCGGCTTCAAAAATGTTGAAAATGTTCATGAAAAAATCTCTATCTATTGCTGTTTTTGTTCTATGTAGTTGATTGTTTTCTTGTTTTTACTTGTGTCTTTACTGCTCTGTCTGTAAGGCGACCTTGAGTGACGTGCAAGGTGCCCAGAAATAAAATGCATTCTTTTTTTTTAAAGATTTATTTTGGGCTTTTTCATGCAGAGAGAGGACAGCGGATAGAGTTTGAAACCAGGGAGAGAGAGCGGGGAATGACATACGGAAAGGGGCCATGGGTGGAGGTGAACCCGGGCCTACCGCTTGAGATGAGAGTCTCAACACATGGGATGCGCGCCCTGCCACTGCACCACCAGCGTGCCCCAATAAAATGCATTCTTATTATTATTTATTAAAGCAATGGAAGGATACTTAGTCTCATCATCTCTCTGTAAGAACCCCCCCCTCCCCATCTTCATTTCAAATCCCCCTCATGTCTTCAATCTCTTCCTGTCTCTCTCAGTCTATAAATCAGCTTTTTTTACTGTCCATAACATCATGTTTTTATTTATTCCACTGTCTACATAACCCAGGTCTTACTCAAATATCAGCTTCAGTCAATCAATCTCATTTAACTGCTCAGCCATCAGGAGACTTTTCATTTTGAAAATATGAAAACCTCTTAGTGCCAATGTGAGCGTCATGTAAATGCTCTACTTTCTTCTCACCCAGTTTGTAAAACTTAATTCTCATTAAAGGATTTATGGCATGGTAGAAGGAAAATGCTGTGACATGAAGTGAAAATGGAATTGCATGCTATGAAGCATACAGAATACATCAAACATTCATCAAGAATGTTGCTGTAAGAGCGCCTGTATTCTTCTATTGTACAAGTCACAGACCTCAGACTGATGGTAAACCTATTACTGCTGAAGACATCGGAGTGGTATTTGGTACTTCAATCATCCTGATGAGTCATTTCCAACATGTCTGACCCGCATTGACCCACGTATCTCCCCTTCGTCAATGCATTAGTATTCGAAACACAGTATATTAACCATCTTGTTTTCTCCATTCTACCGTGTCTAAGATTCCTCCCTAGACTTATCCTTGGACCTTCCTCATTTAAAGCTTTGTTGTGGCTCAATGAGCATCTGTTGCCCAAAACGAGTCTGGTTGGTTCACTTCTTCAGGAAAGCTCTAATAGCAATTTACTGTTGTCCTTTCCCAAGGACACTTCCCTTTGTTTCAAAATAATACAAACCGCATTATGAGACTTAAATAAACTATGAATCCTCTCAGGACTCTAGACGATGTATGGTATACAGTAATTGAGTTTAGCAGGTGTGTGTAATAGTGAAAAATTATGATGGCTGAGTCCTATTTTGCCATTTTCTTCCTCCCCCCACATTGTATTGTTGAATATAATTAGCTAAAATTAACTCACAATGCAGCTCAGGCAGCATGAATGATGTGTCTGTGTTCCTTTATGTGTGTAGGTGTGTGTTTGTAGGTAATGAATGAAGGAATATCAATAAACCTGTCATGCCAGCAAATCCATTGCTGTGCTGTTTTTCATGCCAACAGCACATTTCTCTCAGTCAGGGGACTATACGTGGAACATTAGGTTATTTTCTGGGATGTTTCATCTGTTAAATCTTTGTATCTGCCTATAGACTGATCCTTCTTCTGCATCCCTGCTGCTCCACCTACACCCTTTCTTCCTCATCCCACTATGGATCCTATCTGCTGTGACAGATAGGACAGAGAGTCCAGCGGTCCTCCCATTCTATCTTGTGTCATAAGCACTGAATAAACAGATGCAATGGAGCCATGCATCCATGCAAACTGGCCCAGACATGAATGAATGAATAAACATGCAGATTTTTTTCCATGCTTGCACGGAAATGTACACACTTTGAATTCCAATTAACACAGTTAAAATTCAACTTGTTGTCCGGGCATTAACATTAAAGTAAAGGTAAAGTCACACAAATTAAGGACAATCTTTTTGTCATTGTTTTCTTACAAAATGCAATTCTTTCCCAATGAAGTGATTGCCCATTGTTTAAAAAAAAGAAAGAAATAGCCTTAGACATTAAATGATTGTCTTTCAGCTTCGGTCACCAAGAATAATCACACTAATTGCTTAATTAATCAATTAATTTGATTATTTTTTGTCCTCAGTGTAAGAACATTTTCAAATGGGCAG